AAACTAGACAGGTCTTTCATGAGCTATGAAGGAAAAACAATCCACTAACTTGTAGAAGCCAATTACTGCAGATGCTGGAATCTGTACTGAAAATAACAAATACTGGAGATCATAATGGGTCAGACAACAGCCATGGAGAGAGAGCAAGCTAACATTTTGAGTTTAGGTGACTCTTCATTGGAGCTGAAGCGCTGATGAAGAGTCATCTAGACTCGAAACATTAGCTTGCACTCTCTCTCCATGGAAGCTGTCTGACCCACCAGCTTGTACCATGAATTCATTTATCCTACCTCTTCTAATCCATTTTCCTACATTCCTAGGTGTGACCTGTAACAGCTCTTTCTGCCCTACCTTTAATTTGCCCTTCATCTATTTTAAAATGTTATTTTCTTCATTTTAAGAGTTGCCAGTTAAAAAAAAGCTTGGGGGTGGAGGGGGGTGAAGGTAAAATTAGTTTAGTGGCACTCAGGAAAGTAAAAATGCCAAGCATAGAGCTATTTTGAAAAGATCTTCTAATTATGCATGATCTGAGATTTTGTCATTGGAAACCAATTCTCTGTGCTTTTTTACTCATTATGAGAATTTTGACTGTAGGAAGACTGGCCGTACTCAACAGAAACATTCACAGTTATGCAGGACACATCAATTTTATAGAAAACCCCAAATCTCCTCAGTCATATATCTTGTGGTGTTCTGTTATTGGTTGTATTTGTCCTGTGCAATTGCCCTAGGACCTTCGTGGGATGTCTCTCCCAGCTCATAAAATCAATGATTGCTATTTTCTATAAAAAGAATTGTGAAAATGCAGATTAAGCATTGAACATTGAATCGAAGCATGGTCAATTCTGATTACAAAAGCCACAAAGGAACTTTATATGTAGTCTCATTCCTTTTAATTAGCTTAACCATGCTGGAGTTGCTGAAATATACATATTAAAAATTCAGATATAATTTGAGGAATTTAAAGATGTACTACCTGCAATTGCTCAATAATTACATGTGTCTCATTTTGCAGAAAACAAAGATTATGAAAGGCAGTTTTTATGCCAAATATTTTTAGAATGCTTGATTTTTTTTGCAGAGAACAATAAAAATGTGACCATGTAGATAGTGCACAACTGCTGCTGACTTTTTCTGTGTTTTACATCCTTGGTTGTCAGTAAGACCATGAGAAATAGGAACAATAATAGGCCATTTGGCACCTCAAGCCTGTTCCACAGTTCTATAAGATCATGGCTAATCCAACAGTCCCCATGTTCTCTTTCCTGTGTTTTGCCTGGAATCCTTGATTTCGTGAATGATCGAGAATCTTTTTCTATCTCAACCTTAACTATACACAAGGTGAATGGCTACATGAAAAAGAAGGGTTTGGAAGGATATGAGCCAAATACTGGCATATGTGACTAACTTAATTGTGGATATCTGGTCAGCGTGGATGACTTGGACTGAAGGGTCTGTTTCTGTGCTGTATTTCTCTATGACTCTGCCCCAACAGCTGTTTGTGGCAAGGAGTTCCAAAAACTCTCAACCATTTGGGAGAAGAAATTCCTCCTCATTTCAGTCTTAAATTGGTGCCCCTTTATTCTGAGACTATGATCCCTGGTCCTAGACTTTCCCATGAGGGGACACATCAGCTCAGCATTTACCCTGTCAAGTCCCTTAGGAATCCTGTATCTCAATGAGATCATCTCTCACTCTTCTAAGTTCCAATGAGTAGAATCATAACCTGTTTAATCTTTGCTCATTAGACCCCTTCCATACTGGGGATCATCTCAGTGAACCTTCTCTGAATAGCCTCCAATGAAATAGCATATTTTCTTACATAGGGGGATCAAGACTGCTCACAACATATCAGATATGGTCTCACAAGCACCTTGCACAATTACGGTAAGACTTCCCCACTTTTATACTCCAACCCCCTTGAAATAAGGGCCAACATTCCATTCGCCTTCCCGATTAGCTGTTGCACCTGTGTACTAGCTTTCTGTGTTTCATGCTCAAGTACCTCCAAGTCCCTTGGTGTTGCAGTTGTCTGCAGTTTGTCTCCATTTAAATAATACTCAGTTCTTTGGTTCTCCATTCCAAAATGAACAGTTTACATTTTCCCACATTATACTCCATTTATCAACTTTTTACCCACTTTATTAACCTATCAATATCTAGTTGTAAGCAGTTTATATCCCTCTCTCAACCTCCCTCTCCACCTATTTTTGTGTCATCTGCAAATTTGGCGATGATACATTCACTTCCTTCGTCTAAACCATTTATATATTTATGGTAAATGGGTATAGTCCCAGCACTGTTTCCTGTGGAACCCCACTCTTCATGGATCACCAAACTGAATAAGAAGCCTTTATCTCCACTTACTGTTTCCTGTCCATGCGCCAATTCTCTACCTTGCCAGTATAAGACCTCCAACACCATGGGTCTCATGGCAACTTTTTATGAAGTACTTTGTCAAATGCCTTCTTGGAATCCAAAGACAACAGATCTACTAGTTCTCCTCTACCCTCTCTGGTTGAGACTTCTTCAAAAAACTCTAATAAATTAGTTAGATATGGTTTCCCTTTCATGAAGCCATGTAGACTCTGCTTGATTAGATTATGATTTTCCAAATGTTCTGCTATTATTTCCTTAACAATTGATTCCAATACTTTCTACCAATTGATCTTGGGCTAATTGGTCTATAGTTACCTGCTTTTTGCCTCCTTCCCTTTTTGAAAAGGGGTGTACTATTATCACTTTCCCAATCCTATGGCACTTCTCCAGAATCTAACAATTTTTGGCAAATTACAAACAATGCATCCATTATCTCTATAGCAAACTCTTTTAGGATCCTAGGATGCAAGCCATCCGGGCCAGGGGACTTATCTTCCATGTGGCTCTTTAGCCCCATTAATGTGTCTTATACTACATCTTTAGTGATGGTGATGGTACTTAATTCCTTCCCCGTATTTTTCAGTATTAGTGGGATGTTCAATGTAATTTCCTTAGTTGAGACTGATGCAAAGTATCTGTTTAATTCCTCTGCCATTTCTTTGTTCCTCAGATTCATTTTCTAAGGAACCAATGCTTATTTTGATCTCTGTCTTCCTTTCAACATATTTAAAGAAGCTTTTATTGCCAGTTTTTATTTTCCCCGCTAGTTCGCCCTCATAGCTTATAGTCTCTGACTTCATGATATTTTTAGTCTTTCATTGCTGGATTCTGAATTTATCCCAGTCTTTGGAGCTATCACTGACTTTGGCCTCCTTATATGATTTTTCTTTCAAATTTATACCCTCTTTAACTTTCTTGACTAACTATGGTTAGTTAATCCCTCTCTTCGAATCTTTCCTCCCGACTGGGATCTATTTTTCCTGAGAATCATGAATTAGTTCCTTAAGTGTCTGCCAATACATGCTTACTATTATTCCTGCTAATGTAAAGTTCACTTTAGTTAATTCTATTTTCATTTCATTGTCGTTCCCTTTATTTAAGGCAAACACAGTTGTTTCTGACCCAAGTTTCTCATACTTGAATTGAATATTAAATTCTATCATATTATGATCAATACTTCCTAGGGGAACTTTTACTTTGAGTTTGTTAAAACTGCCTCATTACCCCTTAGAAATCCAAGAAAGCCCGCTCCCTATTGAACTCCATGACATATTACTCTAGGAATCTATCCTAGTGCACTCTATGAATTCATTGTCATACATACCCTTTCCAATTTGATTAACCCAACCAACATGAAGATTAAAGTCACCCATAATTACTGCTGTATTCTTTTTACATGCTTCTATTATTTGTTGATCTATAGCCTTTCTTACAGAGTGCCTACTATTTGGGAATCTGTACACTACTCCTGCCAATTTCTTTTTCCCTTTTTTTTTCACCACCCAAATGGACTCTACATCATTCAAGCCTAGATAATCTCTTCACAATTGTCCTCATTTCATCTCTTATTAACAGTACTACCCTATTACCTTTTCCAACCCTTCTGTCTCTCCAAAAGATCCCTGAATGTTAAGTTCCCACATTTGATCTCCTTGTAATCATGTTTCTGTAATGGCTATGAGATCATTTTACACTCGATTTAAACTGTCAGCCATCTGGCTTATTCCGAATGCATCATATATTTAGACATAGAACCTTTAATTTTATTCTATTAATGAATTTCCCTAAACTTTTATGGGACACAATGACATTCACACATTCTATCCCATCCTTTTACTTTCTGGTGACAATCAGCTCTACCACTATTCTGCAATCCTACCTTCTCCTTTACCTTCAATTTTATAATTTTCCACGCAACTGAATCCAGCCTCCACCCCCACCATTATTTAGTTTAAAGCCCGAGTTATGTGTTTTGCCAGGATTCTGGTCCCAGATATAACCCCAAGATAATTAGCATAGACTGCCAGCAAAGGTACTATTCTTTTCAGGAATCAATTTAATAAGCAACATTGTTTCTGCATGAGTGGGCATTTTCACCATAAAGTCAGAAAAATTGCACAAAGAAGGTAATTGTGGCTCACTGTAGCTTTGTTTTTGTTGTTACTTATTTGCTGTTGGGGAGGACAATGGGAATGGACATCACCAGGGTGACCACAGTTATAATACCAGAGAGTATATGCTGCATAAAAGAGTTGGAGGCCTTTTCAAAGGTGACAATGAATAATCATAGAATCCCTACAGTGTGGAAACAGGCCATTCAGCCCAACAAGTCCACACCGACCATAGGAGCATCCCAACTAGACCCATCCCCCTATAACCCACCTAATCTACATACCCCTGAACACTATGGGCAATTTACCATGGCCAATCCACCTAACCTGCACATCTTTGGACTGTGGGAGGAAACTGGAGTACCCAGAGGAAACCCACACAGACACAGGGAGAATGTGCAAACTCCACACAGACAGTCACCCACAGGTGGAATTGAACCCAGGTCCCTGGCGCTGTGAGGCAGCAGTGCTAACCACTGAGCCACTGTGCTGCCCCAAATAGACAATTGTTGCAATGGCCGGGAATCGAACCCGGGCCTCCTACTTGGCAGGCAAGAATTCTACCACTGAACCACCAACGCAACTCACTTTTAAATCGACATGTTGAGGAAATGTAGTCAGCAGGATTCGAGCCTGCGCAGGGAAACCCCAAAGGATTTCTAATCCATCGCCTTAACCACTCGGCCACGACTACTAGCGCCAAAGCCATGAGAGATTTCAAAATGTAACATGGAAGGTGAATCTTCATTTGTTGTTCGTGTAATTCTGCCAAGAGTTCCATGCTACTTTCATTGAAATTTTAGAGGAAAGTCGGAGAAACCCCATGAAAATTCATGCCCCATTTGAATTTTGTGGCACAGTTATTTGAAGAAACTGCGGAGGTTTATGGATGAATTTGAAGCTAGTCATGAAGTCATAAGATCATTATGCTATTAAGAAGGTCATACAGCCCTCAAGTTCATGTCAGCTCACTGTATAGCAATCCACTCAATGCCAATCCAATTTCCTTTTGACATCATACATTGTCTTCACACTTCCGCCTTCCAACTAAACTTGTCAGAATCCCATACCATGTTATCAAAAGTCCACTCAATCTCTTTTGCTACAAAAAGAAAAACTCAATTTCTCCAACCTAATCTTGTAGCTACAATCCTCATCACCAACCTTCTCAGTTGGACCCTCACTTCCATCCTAAAATACAGTGACCAGAATTAGATATAATGTCCTAGTTGTGGCCTAACCAGAACTTTTAGAAGGGCCCAGAATTCACTTTGGGTGAAGCTCGGGAGGCTGTCAAAGAAATCCATGGAAAATGCTGAAAAGAACTGAATGTGGTTTTCCATGGAAAGGGAAGGAGGTAGGAAATAAGTAAGTGATGCTTTTGAGATTAAAGTTATCTTACTGCTGAGTAATTGATATTTCAAATTTAGCTTGGAGATTACCAGAATTTGGTTGTGAACAAGTGGACATTTGGGAAGGAGATTGGATTGACTTCAGAGGTTGAAAGTTTTCTCAGACAAACTAAATAGAATGGCTTTTGTTGATGTAGGTGACTTCCTGCTCATTCTGTATATAATGCCCCTCAAGCAGTACGTCAGAATGGTGACAGCTGTGGCATCCAGTCTTCAACAACAACCACTTGTATTTACATAACAAAGAGATAAAAGTTGTGCCATTGATATGTGAATGGAATCTAATTCCAAATTTATTAAAGATATTGACAATAGGCAGCAAAAGCTAGGAAGAGGAATGAGCTGAAGATGGAGCCTTAGGATTTCTTGAAGATGGCCATTTGAGGCTGAAGAGAATCTTTAAAAAGAATTGCGCGAGAAAAGTGGGACAAGTTATGCTTGTATCCAAAGCATGGCTGTGACCATGAATGAGAGACAGTTGAGAAGAATGGATCAGCGATGATCTCCAAATGAGTTTGATGAGCCTTATTAAAAGATGTATGGAGCTAGGGAAGAACAAGGAGAGATTGTGTACTTTGATAGTACTCACAGGGGATGTTGCTTATTGCAATGATCAATCTGGAGGGCAGGAGAAAAAGAAAACTGAATAGATTAAAATTTTGGAGCAATGGTGGAAGTTGGTGAATGGCAATGACATATTCAAGGAACTTAGCAAAATAAAAAATGTCCAACAGATGCATTGGTTCTGGGTATTGAATAAGAATTTCAAAATCCACAATTAAAGGAAAGTGAAAACAAAGGCAGTAATTTTAATCCACAGTTCTTTGGAGGGTGTGGTATTCCACAATATTTCTCTCACATGAATAAAGTCAACAAGACTTTCAGTTTAATTGTATGTGAATGTTCTGGTGATTGACAGTGAAGGAAAGGAAATAAAAGTAATTACTTCTGAAATTTACTGTTCCCCACAGAGCTCCAAAGCAAACTGAATAATAATGCACATGGTTTCATTTTTTTTCCTATTACATTGCATTACCTTACTTTGGGAGCCCAACCAAGATTTACTTAAAAGTGGAACTAAAATTTTGGATAATCAAAATTAGGTTTTATCATATCAACCTTCCTAATGTGCTGCTGGAACCAGGATGCTAAATAGTTATGCAAATTAAACAAGCTAACAAAGCATTGGCAAAAATCAACTAGCTAAATATGTCAATACTTGAATTAAAATCTTAGGGCTGGAAATTCACATGTCCTGGTTTATGAACCGAAATGCTATACAGCTTCCTTCTGTTTTGATTGCCTGCTACCTCTGCACTAAGCAGGAACCACATTCTACAGCCTCCTTGGTCTTCTTAAAGGCAGGCTGCGTCTCTGTAAGAAGGAAGCTGCACTGAAAAATATTGTTCAATTTTAAAAGATGGAAAAATTAAACACCAAGCACAGAGAAAGAGAAAGAGAAAGAGAGAGAGACGGAGTGAGAAATCTTGAGAGAGATTTCCAGGTGATGGATGCAATGCTTGAGAGAATAGTGCTTTGTGGTGGGGAGCAGGAGAGACATTCTAATCTATAGGGTGATGGGGTGGGTGGGGGGTGTTGATAAAGAAGACAAGATCTCTCAAGGATCACCATCAGTAGACTGTGGGACGAAAATGTAATCACCTCATGTGGATGGTCAAGATTAGTGAATGAACATTCACATGACGTTCCCACCACCAGTCCACCATCCTCTCACTGTTCAGTGCCCACATTTATACCACTCAACCAGCTCCAGCCACAACTACCCATGATACATGCCAAGCATTTGGATATACCATCTCATCCTTAACAGCCTATCAATTCTACAGGTCCACACCAACATATCTCCACGTATCTTCAGTTATTCAACTATGGCAGAAAAGTCACCTCAGTTCAATGCTACACAATTGACATTCTGTGCTCTCTTTTGCATGATAAGATGGTGCTCAATAGGGGAAGCACAGCAGAACTGGAGGGTGACAAAGATTCTTGCATTATCCCATAGCTCTACTAAGAAGATGACTCTCAAAATCACGCACCAACTGCAATGTAGTCCATGGCATCTAATGTTGCTGAGAACACTGGGGCTGATGACATGTTCCTGAATTGTACTCCGTCTCAACTCCTGGTACCTGCTGACCCTGCTGCCTTGATATGATGTACAAACTGCTGATAGTATGATCATGGACCTTTTGCTTTATACACCACACCCTTCACTTCCCCTTCCAATCTCTTCATTTTAGACATCAATGAACAGCAACACAAGGACAGAGAGAGGGCTTAACTTCACACCACTATGATGAGAATCTGTTACTTGACCTGTGTTTTGCAGCCTTCATCTCAGATACACGCACTGCACTTAGCTCAAAGTTTAGTATGGGGTTGGGGTCAGCACATGCTGTATCAGCTAGTTAGGGGTGGGCTGCAACCAGACCAGGGACAAAGGAAACAATAGGAGGAAATTACTGCAGATGCCAGAATCTGCACTGAAAGCAAAAAGTGCTGGAAATCACTGCGGGTCAGGCATGTGCATTCTCTGTCACCATGTTCTCTCTCCCCTCCACCCAGTGGGATTGCCTGTCTTTCCAGTTTGGAAGTTAGACATATCTTTGTTCTGCCATTCTCACATTCCAATCATTTAGTCTTCACGATTAGCAAACTTTGCATAAATGCTGCCCCCTCCATACTTCACATCAGATCTGATAAAGAGTAATCTAGACTCAAAACATTAGCTTGCCCTCTCTCCATGGATGCTGCCTGACCCATTGTGATTTCTAGCACTGTTTGCTTTCAGGAAAGGAAATGGTCATTTGCCAGCTAACCAAAGAGTGAGGAAGCAAAGGGAATTTTACTGCAGATGACTCATATAAAGATCTCCAATGGCCTATAGGAGAATGCTGATAGGTATGTACATTAATGTGCTCAATGCATTGGTTGGTCTGCAAATCTCCTGTTACTATCGAGGAGCACAGAGGAATATAGGCTTAGAGAGAGCTTGTCCTCTCTGCAGCCTCTGTTCCATTTCATTGTCATGCTAGCAGTCCATATACATTCCAATGCTCCCCTCATACTTGATGCAATCTTTCAGTGGACAAATCACCCTACTCCTCTGGCATCTCTATGAGGAGGCAGCAACAATCTCTGGTAATTTCAGGAGCTTCCCAAAGCAGTTCAATAAGTATTACAGAATACTAACAGTCAGCAGAATTTCTTAGAAATTACTATTCCTGCAATTTGGCTGCCTGACCCTTTGAGGAACACCAATGCAGAGCTCATCTTGCAGCTTCACACTCGTTTAGTAAGCGAATGATAAATTTGTTGCCTAGAGCTGTGTGGTCCAAATTAACTATCCTGGCAACGCATCAACCAGTTAAACTATGTGATGTCAGGGAAGCATGCATTCACAGCATGCTGGCACATGTTAGTGTAAATGTTATGTTAATGGCATTGTTAAGGCTCAGGATAAAACAGGCTGAGGGTATTGTTTAAGTATCCAGAGCAAATATGCAGAGGGTCCTCTGGAACATTGGATGTTGATTAGAGAGGATGCAGACATATTTAATGCTATATTCTGTAAATAAATCTAGAATGAAGTAGGAAGATTGAAGTGTGATTTATTCAGAATAAATGGTCACTCAGGATGTTCCAATATACACCCTTCCCCTGCCAGATGACTATGGGTTGTACAGCAGACTGACACAAATGCATCACGGCCTAGCAAAGCAGCTCTAAAACAATAATCTCATATCTAGAATTTTTTTTTCATTTCTTAAAGGAAACAGAAGATTCTGAAGGTTGACTCTGAACATTTGTTACCATGGAACAGTGCATTCCTCCATTTTTTATCATTTCAGATACTAGAATTTGTGGGAATGGAAAGCCTTATGTTTCATATCTATAACTGAATTCACTTGTAATACCTGCTTCTCTACATGGATTTGGTCAACCACGCCTGGCATTCTGGAAGATTAAGCACGAACACAGATTTGTTGCGAGGTGGACCAATGGGTTCTGTTCACCTGTAAACTCAATAGTCTCAGGCCTGGCATCAGAAGCATACAATGGTTTGCAGGGCCCCCGTAAACTTACGTTTCTCTACAACACTACATGCTCCATTCCACTGATCCATTTAAGTGCATATAAAAATGATA